GGGGGAGAGGTGGAAGGCCGGGCCCTGGGGCTCATTGCTGCAGGGGGATCAGGGGAGCAGTGGAGAGGATGAGGAAGCTCCCTGCCTGTCCTGGCACTGCAGACTGCGCTGCACCCTAGAGGCAGCCAACAGCTGGCCCAGCTCCTAGGTGGGCTAGAGGGGGAAGAGCGCACGGGGCTCCACGCACTGCCCCTGCCCCAAGCACTAGCCCCACACTCCCATTGACTGGGAACCTGCTGCTGGCTGTTTCTGGGGTGCAGCCTGGTCTGCGGTGCCAGGTGAGGCAGGAAGCTTCCTTAGCCGCCCCCCCCCCCCCCCCGCAGCATTGCTGTCCGGGAGGTGCTCAAGGTAAGACCCTCCTGCTCCAGTCCTGCCCCCGCAAAGCCGGAACCCCCTCCTACACCCGCAAGCTCTCATCTTCAGCCCCATCCCGGAGCCCACACGCTAGTCAATTCACATCGGGTTGCAGCATCAACGTTTTTCTACAACTGGGTCACGAGAAAATAAAAGTTTGACAACAGCTGGTTTAGAGCATCCCCTTACCCGTGCTCTCATTTGAGCTATGCAGGAGAGGTATCGCAGGTACCTTTGAACAGCAGCAAAGGAAAACAACGCGGGAGAAACCCCTTCGCCCAGTATCTTGGGGACGTGCCGTTGGCACCCGGTGGAGAGCGCGTTCTTTGGCTGAAACGCTGACCTGTGCGTCAGGCGTCCTGGAACCGCATGCTACAGACACACCAGGAAGTCACAGCCTTCCTGGGCCTCTGCAGAGCTGGGTGACGGATGCTGACAGCGGGGAGATCAACAGAGGAAACGCACTAGATGAGATTCACAGTCCCCACTTCCAGTGTAACTGGCTTGACCTAAGGATGTTAAGTATTGTGTAACTGACTAATCGAATAGTCAATGAATTTTTGCATCAACTATTGAATTAGTCGACAGAGTGACGCTAGCCCCCTTTGAAACGCTGCCGTGGCGTTTCAAAGGGGCAGTGCCACGCAGAGGCCGGGATCAGATGGGGACTCCCCAGCTGACCCCAGGCTCCACGCGGTGCTGCCCCTTTGAAATGCCTCCGCGGCATTTCAAAGGGGCAGGGGCACACAGCTGATCCCGGGCTTCGTGTGGCGCTGCCCCTTTGAAGTCCCCCCCCCTGGCTGCCTCTAATAGAGGCAGCAATGGGGAGGGGAGAAGCAACTAGTTGACTACCCTGTCGACTAGTCCTCAACATCCCTAACTTGACCCAGACCCCCAGCAGGCTATTGAATTGCCCTGGTATTTGAAGCCATCTGGAACATTTTGCATGGCAGCCTGTAGGACGGGTGGTTGACGACTCGTCTATTTC